AAAAAAAACAAACAAAGAAGATTTTTTATTTATTTCAAATGGTCACTGGTTCAGTGCATCATTTACATCTAAGAAATATAACTACAAAGACAAAAATAGTGTAATTAAGAAGTAAACAACTGATTCTTCTCCGTATCTTAAACACATCTTTAAAACTCAGCAGGTCCCAGAGCGGCAAACATCGATGGGCTAATCTCCCTTCAGTATAATATGTTTGTTGTATACAAGAAACATATTATGAGGAGAAAATTGTTATGATGTCCCTCTCAGGCAGAGACAGATTGTTTCCTTTGAACATTCTGAAATCTGAGCGCCATAAACTGGAAACAAATGGGCCCCTCCTGTGGGTTTAATAACAGGGCTCACTGACACATCCATCTGTGACGTATAGGACGGAGAGGAGGTTCTCAATATCCCCAAAATCACTGGAGGTGCTATTTAGCAGCGATTAGCTTCCCTTATCTCATCATACATCATCTTTCCCTCAGACTTGCACCGATATTGCAGGCGACATCTAATATGATATAAGAGATTAAAATGACTTTCATGACGTTAATTTATTCCGATCCAATATCTTATAAATAAATACAACTTTGAGCTCCTGGCTACCATAATGCATTTCAATGCCCCAGTGCTCATCTTTTTATCTGCTCATGTTTCCCAAAGGCTTGGCTGTGTGCGTGACCTTGACACGAGTGTCAAAGAAACAGAGGGTATTGATTGAACTGTGTGCGCATCTCAGCCGCCTTTGTGGATCTGAGAGGATTGGATTTATCAAATGAGCCCTGAGAGTGGAGCGTTTGGAAACTGGTCTTAATCCTTCAGTGAAACTCTGTGGGTCCAGAACATCCCTGATGCATTGATCAGTGCACACACACACACTTGAATGTAAGCACATATACCTAAGAAGTCACGGATATCGCCTACACAATGCTGTGCGTTACAGTCTTGCGAGACCCCATTCATTTAAAGTATAGTTTTTCCCAGTTTTAAATATCAGATGATACAGTTATTTTCTGAAAGGACGATGGGTTTTGTAAGGTCTCCACCGTACTATGTAAAGGGCCTTGAGATGATGTATGATGTGATTTGGCGCTCTGCAAATAAACTGAATTAGAAAATGAATTGAAAGGTGCTTATCTGCAGTTTGCATTGCCGCCATAGCAATGCTAAGCTAACCAGCAGCCTCTCATTGTAGCGAAATGAGAGTGTTATCAAACTTATGAATAGAAAATCTTATCTTACGCATGGAAATTTGTCTTTGGCTGCAAAGCACAGAATTGGTAAGATAGATTCACCAGTGTTGGTTTGTAGCTCTGGGTTCCCCCAGGAGCCATAACCCCTGATGTAAGTCATCTAACTTTACGTAAGAAAATTAACAGGCATATCTTTGCAAAATGCGATTCCTCTTCATCGTCATTGATTTTATCATCATGAAAGGAAAAGAAGATAAAAGCATATGTGTTGTCCACCATGCACATCGAGTAACTGAAAGAAATCAGCCAACAACTCATCTTAGAAGGATCAGGATGAAACAGATACTCCCCAGTCAGTCAAGTGTTCGTACCATAGCCATAACTAAGCTGAAAATAGGATTTTATACCTATAGCCCTGCACTGCACCTCTCGCTGTATACTGCTGATGCTGAACAATACCCTGCTCACTCTGATTAGCATAATTTCTCAAGAGAATGGAGAGATGAATGAGTCATATGACGGAAGTGTAGAGGAAAACCTGCTGGAGGAGAGATCAAAAGGATGTTATAGTGCTCCTCACTATTGGTCTCTGGAGAAAGGATTCTGATTCTCACACTTAACTCTGCTTTGAACCGCACTTAAGAGAACTCTGCAGCCCTTAAGCCACGCTCGCACATTCTCCCCATGTAAATTATTATGTCAGGATTTGGCATCTGAGTAGATGTTGCTGATGTTCAGAATGGATCTGAATCCTTTATTTGTCAGCAAATGAGTTGTAATGAGACGTGGAGGAGAATTGAACTCTGAAGTTTGGACGGAGAACAGACGAGATGAGAGAGGATGGATTAAACAACTGTACCTGAAAAATATGGAACACAAAGGTGCTCAGCCTTTAGCCAATCACATATGCCCTATAGCCTCCCTCAGCATGCTCACCACATGCTAGCTAGTTAGCTAAATCGATTTGACAGCGATTATTGAGAAAATTAGCTGGCTTTTGAAAAAGCTATTCCAAAAAAACTAAGCTAAATACATAACATTTCATTG